ACTCTAAGTCTTAATGAGCTACCAATGCTAGGATGATTCTAAGAGAGTCCTTCTTAGATACTGGAGAAAAGGTCTGTGTATAATCTATGCCTTCTTTTTGAGTAAAATCCTTAGTAACAAATCTGGTTTTAAATCGTTCGATATTGCCTTTTGTGTCGCACTTGGTCTTGAAGACCCATTTACACCCGACCTTTTTACAATTATTAGGCAATTAGACGAGATCACAAACACTATTCTGTTCCATGGATTTTAACTCTTCATTTATAGCATTGACCCATTTAGTAAAATCATCACTATTCATGGCTTGTGAAAATGAGACTGGATCTTTGTTAATCCCAATATCAAAATCAGATTCATGTAGATACACTATATAATCATCTGGTATGGCAGGCTTTTTTTCCCTTTGAGATCTTCTCAGAACTGCCGATTGTGGCGGTTCTACAATATTTTCAATAGTGGTATCTTGTGGTGAAACATGAGGTGGTGAAGGATTTCCGTTATGTTGTTCGTTTCCCTCAGGTTGTGGAATAATCTGAGGAACAATAATTTTTCGATAAGGGTCAAATGTTGGCACATCCACCCTAATTTCTTCGAAATTCACCACTCGTGTTTTCTCACTCCCACTAATTTCACCATTCTCTAGGAATCTAGCATTACCAGTCTCTATTTTCCTCGTACTGTGATTAGGACAATAAAATTTGTACCCTTTAGACTTGTCTGGATAACCAATGAAATATCCAGATATTGTTCTTGAGTCCAACTTTTTCTCTTGTGGGTTGAAGATTCTTACCTTTGCTAGACAATCCCAAATATGTAAGTGTCTCAAACTAGGTTTCCTACCAGTCCACAACTCAAAAGGAGTTGTTGGGACTGCCTTACTAGGAACCCTATTTAAGATATACATTGTAGTCTTTAAAGTTTCACCTTACAATGAAATGGGTACAATTAAGTAACTTAACATACTCCTAACCATATCTTTTAGTGTACGATTACGCCTTTCAGCAACTCCATTCTGTTGTGGCGTACTAGGCATTGTATATTAAGCACGAATGCCTTTCTTTTCTAAGAATTTGGCAAATGGGCCAAGATTTTGGCCTGACTCATCATATTTACCATAATATTGACCACCCATATCTGATCTCACTATTTTAACCTTTCTATGTAATTGTCTCTCAACTTCAGTTATGTACACCTCAAGGATGTCAACAGCCTGAGACTTTTCATGAATTAGATACACATATCCATAATGTGCGGAATCATCTATAAATGTGATGAAATATTTTTCACCACTAAGACATGGGATGTTGAGTGGCCCGCAAATATCTGTATGAATTATCTCAAGAAACTCATTATTTCTTGTGGCACCTTTCTTGGTGTGTTTGGTTTGCTTTCCTTTGATGCAATCTACACATATCTCAAAATCAGTGAAGTCTAGGTTTTTCAAAATCTCATTCTTTACCAATTTTTCAGTTCTATTTCTAGAGATATGCCCCAACCGTCTATGCCACAAGATTGAGGATTTTTCATTAATTAAACCACGTTTTAAACCAATATTTGAATGCAGAGTTACTAATGATTGTGTAAACTCATAATTTAAGGCAATTTTATATAAATCATCACATAAATTACTAGAACCAATCATTATTGAATTAAATATTAAATTGAGTTTTCCACAACTAAATAAAACTGAATGTCCAACACGATCTAATTTGGATAATGAAACTAAATTCCTAGAAATTGAAGGAACATAAAAAGTGTCTTCTAGATCCATTTGATGACCCATCTCTAAGATCAGTCGATAGGTTTCTACAACTATGACTTCAGTTTTGAGACGGTTCCCCATATAAACAAATCTTTCACTTTCCTTCGATTTTCTAACTGAGAGGTATCCCTACATTGAATTTGTAATGTGGGTCGTGGCACAGAGTCAATCCACCAAGTATTAGAAGGTACTTCAGCAAGATTTGATTCATAACAAACAAAAGAAAATTTCTTATATTTCTTTTCGAACCAAGCCTTTCGCTTGCTGCAGTCTTTCTTCACATGTCCCTTCTTGCCACAAAAATGGTACTTGACAGTGAAACCATTCTGAGCCTGATTTTCTTCAACAGGCCCATTATTTTTCTTGGGTGGATTTTTCTTTGATTTTACAAAATTACCTTTCTTTTCTTTCACTTGCTGCAGCCAATGCAGTTTAACGTCCTTCCTCCCTCTACCTCACTTCCTCCTAAACACACATATTGGTCAGCTCATTCAAACTCCACTCATCTTTATAGGTGTTATAGTGAATTTTAAATGTGCCGAACTGTGATGGAAGTGAGTTGAGAATAAATTGCACGAGAAAAGTTTCATCAACTTGCATCCCTAAAGTTTTAAGCTTTGCAACTTTGTCAGCTATATTGAGGATGTAATCCTAAACTCCTCGGTTGCCATCACATTTCATTGTTGTCAATTCAGCCATAATAGTGCCAGTAAGTAGAGAGACGCCCAATGCAAAAGTGTGCAATGAGGTGGGAACTGTCACTGAAATAAGATAAACATATGACGCCCCAAATTTTACTCTAAGGGTTAGAGTAACGTCACTAAAGAGTCATTTAGGCCTCGTTTGGGAACAGGCTAATTTAGTAACTTTTTGGCTATTTGGCTACAAAGGTAGGTAAAAAAAACTTGTATGTTTGGAATGACTTTTTGACTAATTACGAAAAGATGTGAAAAAAGTAGAGAGAAAAGAGAATCTTTGATTTTTTGGTATGAGTTGTTGGCTTTTTGGCTAATTTAGTAACTTTTTGACTAATTGATTAAAAAAGTAAGTCCCCAAACGAGGCCTTAGTCAATAACCAAGTAAGATCCCAAGAAGGTAGGAGGAGTCAATATAGTCTCTCTTCTAAGTCCAACCACCTTAGATAGCAAGCTATCTTTTTGACAGATCTTAAGAGGTATTAACACAAGGTCTCATAAGTAACGCGAAAATAGGCATAAACAATATACATATTAAAGCTTTAAGATTTATAATCATGAACTATCGATATCACATAAGTCTTTCTTTTGGGCAAAACTTAGGTATATCTATTGTCCACTCGTCAAAAATCACTTATGTAGGTCTAAAGTAATTTATGTAACTTTTCAGCTAGTCATGTTACCTTCGGGTATTCAATTCTAATCTGTCAAATTACATAAGTTACATTACCCTACCCAGTTTATAATTATTTGAAAGTGACTCTCCTTTGGGCTAGTCTCAATCTTCTAATTATAACTGCAATTAAGAATATCATTGACCTTAATGTTACCCGTTTAACAATTCTTTTATATAGTTCTATATTCATAAGTTTTACAAATCTAGGCCACTTTGGTAGCTACTAAATTAGTAAACCTTATGAATACAGAACTAACCAACAATATTCTCTATTCATTAATTTGAGTAATTTAATTATCATTAATTCAATCACTATTTTAATGAAATCACTATTTATGATTTCTAGAATTTCTTTTATGTGATTGTAATTACCAATATAATAATAATAACTTTGGACAAACATGAATATTTATATATCAAATTATGTAATATAACAATCATGAATATCTCATATAATGGTCAATAAGAATTACACCTAATATGTATTAACCACTCTAATATTTAATATTCAATGTCATTATATCATGATATCAAATTTAAATCATGAAAACATATAAATATCAACAATAATAGACAATAAGTGTACATAATCAAATGAGGTAAAATCAAAATTCTTTAATAGACCGAATGATTCAACAAATTACTTTTCATCTATGCCCCAACCGTCTAATTAAATAATAATTTTATAATCATTCAATTCTATGGCATATAGGAGGAAGTAATATTCTTCACTAATAAGATAATGATTCTAAAATAATAAACCGAAGCATACATATTACTTTTTGTAAAGAAATATGAACATGTTAACAAAATAACAAAATTAAAAGGTGTATTACACGTTTGATCCATTCAAACAAATTGAGATAATATTTTAAAGGCAATACCGATAATAAAACGAAAGTACCGTTTATTAAAAATAATATAATAAATATATTATTATTTCAAGGTGTATTGATTCACAAAATGAAAGCTCTGATACCACATGTAAGAATTAATAATACATGTAACCATAATACTAATGCAGAATTAAACTTTACAGGATCTTGAATTCAATACAACTCAAGAATAAAACGAACATACCTTTGTCAGCCATTGAATTAGAGAAGTTTAGAAAATACCCCTAATAGTTGAACTTTTAATTCTTGGCTCACCTTCTTCTCTCTATCTCTCTTAATTAGGATGACTATAAAACTTAGAGTGATGGAAAAATACTCATGATATGAAAGGGGAGTCACCCATCCTTATATAGAGAAGAGAAGAGGGACAGATAAACTCTATCAGAAGAATTCCTATCCATCAAGGTTTCCTTCTTATCTTAGAAGAGTAATTATATTAAAATTCTAATTGCTAAACTTTATCTCAAATATTGGCTTTATCTAATTATGTAGTCCAAATAAAATAGAGCATGTAAAAAATATGTAGACTATTGAGTTATACTAGAAAATAAATCCAACACTGATGAGATGGAAGGAGAATGAGAGAAAAAATTAAGGGTCAAACTTAGAATTTCAAAAATGATAAATTATTGGCATTGAACTTAACGGTTGACTAATAAAATTACAATACCGTTGATTACACGAGAGGAGAGGGATGTATTTTAAACATAAAAACTAGGAAATTCCAGTATAATTTTTACCCTTAAAATAGTTATTCATTCTTTATATTTGAATATATACAAGACTCGCAAACCAAGTAGATTAAAAAGTCCTTTATTGTGCTTCTGCATTCAATGCCACACCTTGTTTATGCTAACCTCAGAACAAAATGGCTCGTACTAATAAAATGGTTCCAAACAAATGCAGCCAAATCCATCAAAAAAATTTAAGATGCTGATATATGGTGAAATCAAGATCCAATCCTGTTCTAGTTACAAGTAATGCAGCCAAATGCTTTACAGAGAATCACAAAAACATAATACGTGCTGAAATAAAAGATTATACTCGCTTTGTCTAGAATTCAATGCTCCACATCCACCTCTCGACACACAAATTGATATTCTCATACAGCATGGTGTCGGAGTCAGAATTTTAATCCAATCAACTCACTCAATAACTCACTCAATGCCTCCCACTCTTTCTTGGGTAATATAACTTAGCAAATAAGCTACTGATTAGAATCAGAATCAGAATCGGAATAGGAATCGGAATGGGAATGGGAATGAGAATGAGAATCAGACGTAGCCACCATTGACACGTACGACCTGGCCATTAACCCACTCACCAGCGTCGCTAACCAAGAACCCAACAACAGGAGCCACATCGTGGGTCTCACCGAGTCGACCCAAAGGGCACTCCTCCACCACCTTCCTCACCATCTCCTCCGTCTTCCCATCGAAAAACATCTCAGTAGCAATCGGCCCTGGAGCCACGCAGTTAGCGGTGATTCCCGTCCCTTTCAGCTCCTTTGCCATTACCTTCACCATCGCTTCCACTGCTGCCTTGGACGCTGCATAAGCCCCAAAACCCTGCCTCAGCGACCCTACCTGCGACGAAGACAAGCATATAATCCTCCCACCACCGCCCCGCTTCAGCCGATTCGCTGCCTCCTTGCAGCAGAGGAAGGCCCCCCTCGTGTTCACCCTGAGATGAGATGAGATGAGATGATATAGCTAGCTCTATTTGCTTAATACGAATAGGAATGAGATTAATTAAATTGAATACCAGAATGAAATGATATGATATGATATGATGATTTTTCAAACTCGCTTCCACAATTATCATATTTCATTTCAGAGCAAGGATTCTAGAGTGATTTTTTCTTAAAGTTTCCTAAAGTGCTACATTGTGTGGTAAGTCACATAAATCTCAACCACACAATGTAGCACTCTAGGAAACTTTAGAAAAATTTCACTCTAGAGGATCCTTGGTGTTCATTTCATTCCATTATAATGCTGATTTTATTTACAATTCATTTTTTATTATTATAAGAATAGACAGACATTTGAGAAAGGCTACTACTATATGTCCACTCTGTTTTTGAGGTACATTCATATGACATGTGATGTAAAATGGAGTATAATTTTTTTAACAAAATGTAAGTAGTATAATTTTTATTATAAAATGCATAACTTAAGTTTTACATTATAATTTCATCATTCATACTTTTCATCACAAAACTTGTAGTAACTTTTGTCACACATAATATTTATAATTTTTATCATAAAAATCACAACTTTTCTTACAACTTTTCTGTTCTTACAATGTACAAGTACACATATTGAAGTAGCATTTTTCTAGATGTTTTGATGAAATAATCAACTTGTTTGTTTTTATTTTTCAAAAAATATTTTTCAAAAAATTTTACATTCTTATTTTTCATATTTTTTTGTTTTTATTGAATTTTTTTAATATTTTAAGCAAATTTTTTATTTTTTAGACACACCTAACATAAATACATTTAAAAAGTAAAAAAATTATTAAAAAAAATCTTTTAAAAATTCACTAAATACCAAAAATATAAAAATTTAATACATTTTTTTATAATTTTATGTATTTATTAATTTTTTAAAATATTTTTTCACAAATTTTTTACTTTTTAAATACACTAAAGATAAAAAAATACGAAAATTAAAAAATCCAATTTCTAAAAAACTTAATTCAAAAAATTCAAACCAAACAAACAAACCAAACACACTGAATTATATTCTATTTGATTGCAGTGAATCAATTCAAATATTACCTGAAAGTTTTGTCGAAATCTTGGATGGAAGTGTTGAAGAGGGTTGGGTACTTGGGGTCGAGTACGCCGGCGGAATTGATGAAGATGTGGGGTTGGGAATTGAAGGTGGATTCGGCGGCTTCGAAGAGGGACTTCACTTGGGCTGGATCGGAGACGTCGGCTTGGACGGTGATGGCTCGGCGGCAGCCACTGGTACTACTATTGCTGTTGATTTGGGAGGCAACGAGTTCGGCTTGGGATGAATTGGAGGAGTAGTTGATGACGATTTTGGCGCCGAGGGAGGCCAGGTGGAGGGCGATGGCTCGGCCGATTCCTCGGGAGCCGCCGGTGACGATTGCCACTCGGTCTTGGAGTGGCAGATTAACGGCGCCAGTACTTGCTTGTTCACTCATGTCGTAGTCGTAATCGTAATCGGTATGGAGGAGAGAAGGAAGGTGATTATTTATTTATGGAGATGCGAAAGAAATCACAATTTGGGGAAAACTTTGGGGGAAGCTACTGCTTGGGTTTGGTAGGTAGTTTATTGGGTAGTGTTATGGTGTGCTGCACACAATATGTAACTAACATAAAAGGTATAAGTGGAAGGTGTAAACATAAAATAAAACAATAAACAGAAAAGCGTAAGTGTAAAGTGTAAGTTGCACACTTAAGAAAAGTCGATATTAATAAAGGAAATAACATGATGCATATGCATTTTATAATTGAAAAACAAAAAAGTGATTTGGACTTGTAATTTATATAGTATTATATTTTTTTTTCCCGTGATCCATTTAATTCTTTTGGATATGTAATAACTCATTTATTTATCACATTCGAGTATCACATTTAAAAAAAATAAATTAAAGAATTTTTAGTGTTATATCATGCCCGGCACGTTAAAGTATCACATTTGAGAAAATATACTAAATCTTTTTAATTTTTTTTAGAGTGTCACATCATATCCGCTACGTTGGAGTGTCATATGTCACGTTTGAAAAAAAGTAAATTAAGAAGTTTTTTTTTTTTTAGAGTCACATTATAGTGACTACGTTGTCACATTTGGAAAAAAAAAAAATTAGAGTGTTACATCATATCTGTCACGTTATCACGTTTGAGAAAAGTATATTAAGAAGTTTTTAATTTTTTTTAGAGTGTCATATCATACCTGCCTCACGTTGTTATGTTTCATGCTGTCACATTTGAGAAAAGTACATTAAAAAATTTTATTTTTTTTAAAGTGTCACATCATACCCGCCACATTGTCACGTTTGAGAAAAGTACACTAAAGAGTTTTTAATTTTTTTAGAATGTCACATCATCCCCGCCACGTTGTCACATTTGAGAAAAGTATACTAAAGAGTTTTTAATTTTTTTTAGACTGTCACATCATACCTACCACGATGTCACGTTTGAGAAAAATGCATTAAAGAGTTTTTATTTTTTTTGTAATGTCATATCATACCTGTCACGTTGTCACATTTGAAAAAAATACACTAAAGAGTTTTTATTTTTATTTTTTTGAGTAAAAGTTTTGAAGTGCCACATTATACTCGTCATGTTGTCACATTTAAAAAAAATACACTGAGAAATTTTTAATATTTTTGGAGTGTCACATTTATACTTGTTGCATTGGAGTATCACATCAAATCTATCACATTAATAAAATGGTATACATGTCTACTAAAATACTACCAAAATAAAAAATAGGATCATACGGAAAGAAATTTTCCACTAATAAAACTTAATAAATCAATAGAAAAAACTTGGGACTAATTAGAATATTTTTTTATGAGATAGGATTTATTGGTAAATATCCCTTTAAAAAAATAGTATAATTTTAATTTTTTGAATTATAATTAAATATATATATATATATTATAACTAAATAGAATATGATATATAATTAAAAAAATCATGAGTTATAATTAAAATAATATTATAATTTTAAAAAAAAATAGTGTAACTATAAAAATAAAATGCATTAAATTATAAGTGTATATATTACACCCTTTTTAAAGAGAAATATATTAAAATTTTTCTATTAATAATGATACGAAAAATGTACATACTAGTGTGTTGCAAGTGGTAAGAGCTTGTTTTGTCCAATCCACAATCTTAGTTTCAAGTCTTGTTTTCTTCTTCATTTTTATTTATTTATTTATTTATTTATTTTACATAAACATCAACTACAGAAATATTTGGAAAAATTAAAAATATAAGATATAAATATGTCAATACCACCAACAACGTTCACTTTATATATTAAAATAGACAATATTATATTAAGTGAATTTTTTTTTTATCAAAAAAAAAAAACTCCGTGAGGATATCATAACTTCCACAAGTTCTGACCCTAATCTAACCAGTTGACGGCCAAATTTAATCCAATCCAAAAGTAGGGACCCCCACTAGGATAACAGTAGCTCCACGCCCTCTTCACAACAAAAGTCTTAAAGCTTTACAAGAGCAGTACAAAACAGTCTTCTGAAGAAATCGTGCCTCCTAAGTGTCAAATCTAGACATCTTGTATGGAGGGAGGGCACAGCTCCACTGGACCACCGCCTTAGTGGTTGATAATACAATTTGGTCAATGAAGGATGGGTCGGACTGATCCACGCGTTCGGTGGGTCTGTTGGCCTTCGTCTCCTTGATGAGTACCTGCAAAAAGGTGCAGTAAGGAGATAGGGGGATTAGAGTGGTTTCTTCCAGTGGACACTCCAATGATGAAGTTAGATAGGAAGTAATAGAAGAAGTAGAGAGAGAGAGAGAGAGAGAGAGAGAAAGAGAAAGAGAGCGAGTTACTTGTTGTCGTTAACGTTCTTTACAATCTTCCTTATATCTTTTTCCCAATCATTTCCTTGTCTATTTAAGTTGTCTTATTGGCCGAAAGTGCAGGGTCTACTTGATGTCGACCTTGGCAGTTTCACCATACCAGGGAGCGAGAGGTCTTGCTGTATTTTTTTTTTTTTTTATAGGAAAGAGGTCTTGTTGCATTTAATGCCATGACATCCTAATTTAATGCTTGATGCCTGGGGTCAATAACTCTGTAGGATTTTGTAGACACCCCATTTTTGACCGACCTTAAGACTCAGACGTCACCGATTAAGCACTTGGTGATGTTGCATATCGTGCTCGTTCAGAGGTTTCAGAGTCGCGGCCGTGAGCCCTGCCTCCGGATTTCCGAACCCTCTTCTGTGCCTTGCCTCGGTTTGCGAACCAGACTCGGTTTTCTCTGTTTCTTTTCCTGAGAGGAGGAAGAGGTCTCGTACATTATCTCTCAGTGGCTGTGGGCTACATTTTGTGGCTGTAGGCCATTTTGCCCATTTCGGAGCCCGGTTCCCGATTTTTCGGAGCCGTCAGGCCGTTTGCCTCGGTTCGGGACCGCTTAACCATCTCCGTTTGCCCCGGTTTTTGGCATGCATCTTATTTACTCCCTTTCGAGGGACACTGAGGTCTGAGAGACCCACTTCGTGGTCGAATGCCACTTTCGGTGCTTAACAGGCAGTTTTCAGGGCCCCGAATTGCGCGTTCTGGCCTCCTAACATTCGTTTTGCATCGGTTTTCGTTCATTTTTGGCAGGTACCTCTGTTTCATCACCAGGAAGGCCGTAGAAGGGTGGGAGGCCAGCAATTGTTTCAGCAACCAGTTATATTCCTCCGGCGCCCTCCGACGCCCGTTTTTTCTCACTTCCAAGCCAATGTTGACCACCCTAGGGTTATTTTCTTCAATCCTAACCCCCATATTTGTGTTGTACACACATGGGAGGACACCAAAAGTTGGTGGCCGGCCAGTAATTCCACCTGACCCTTTTGAACCCTTTCTAAAAATGGCCTATTCTCTCTCTTGTTTTACAGTTGACAATTTTGAATCACAGGGCTGTGTTGAGGGCACATGGGAGGACACCAATTTGTGGTGGCCGGCCATTAATTCACCTTGGCCCTTTTGACCCTTGGCCGGCCGGCCATGGGGGGTGGCCGGCCGGCCACCTGCAGCTCCAAAACCTGGCCGGCCTTGCTCCTCAGAGTGAGTATATTACAGCTGTATATCTGTTTTCCCGCCAAAAAACCTGTATCCGGGAGACAACTTTTGGGGGGAAACTTGATCCATTTTCCCCCCACTTTTTCCGTCCTTTTCTCCCCCTCTTTGGTCTATATAACTGGCCTCCAGCATTGGTCCAAGGGTTAGAAAAAATCCCTCTCAAGCCTTTACATTATATCTCTCTCCATCTCTATCTCCAAGCTCCAATCCTTCAAACCTTACACCATTTTACACTACACCACCTAGCACCACCCTTCCATTCTTCATTCCAGCAGCTGGAGGTCATTCTTCAAGGCCTAAGAGTGCTGCAACTCAAGCCAAAAGGGTGCCAAAGTCAAGTCTTCAAGGGTAAGCTCCATTTCCCCTCTTTCGGTCCATATTTTGTTCAATACATAAGTCATATTTTCTTGCTGTTTTGGGCTCCGACCCTAATTGAAGTTAAGCTTATTTTGAGCCATTTTTCATGTTTTATTAAGGGCCTCTCACTGTTTGAGGCCTCCTTGGTGCACTTACTTCATTATCCCTCTTATATGCCATTTTCTTGTGTGATATTTTTGGCCTGTGTATAAATTGTTTTGAGCTCTGTCATGAACTGAAAAGTTTCTTATTCTGAGCCCTTCTTCAACATTGTTGAAGGGCTCATTGCTGTTTGAGGCCTCCATTTGTCACTTGCCATTATATCTCTCTTTTGGCCATATTTTTGCATGATTTGTTAGCCTCGGATGCTTCTGTTTTTGGGCTCTTTTCAGAACTGAAAACAATCTTGTTTTGACCCCCTTGTCATGTTTCATTAAGGGTCTTTGGCTGTTTGATGAATGTTTTGTATACTTTGTGTTTTGACCTCTTTCGGGCCCTACCTTGCATGGCATTTTGAGCATACTTGAATATTGTTTTTGGGGTTGCCATAAACTGTAAGTAGTCATATTTTTGGTCCCTCTTCAGTGTTGTAGAAGAGTCTTTTTCTGTTTGGGCTTTGCATCTACCACTTGCTTCATTGCCTCCCTTGCGGAGCCATTTTTGTATGATAATTTAGTCCCACTTGTGCTTACTGTTTGGCCATGCTTTGAACTGTAAAAATACTTATTTTGGGGCTGCCTTGCTTCTGTCTTTTCATTCCATGTACCAATTATGCATGCTTTGTATAGCTGTAAGCCATTTCATGTACCTAGTTTTGCATTTCGGGAGAAATTCCATGCACCGGGTGTCATTTCGCCTTATTTCGGGGTTGTTTTCCCCCTCATTTTTCTACTGATTTTTGCATATTTGCATATCATATTCCATGTCTTTGCCATGTCTCATTAGAGTGGCATTTCGGTGCCTGAGGGTCGGTCCTCGATTTGCATGCACGCGTGCACGCATTTCGAGTCGTCTTGTTTTCATCTGATGGCCTCTTATGTGAGTGTGGCTGAGGTCCACTCATGTTGGTGTAAGTCCATTATGTATTGTGTATGCCATTTCATTTCATAGCATTGCGTATGTTAGGTTATATGTTAGCGCATTGTGTATGTCATG